TGATAGATAGATAGTTCGGACGGAACGAAAGAGAGCGGTAATGCTGTATTCGTTCGAAGATGAAATGAGGTATACCTATATGTTGTTAAACAGATAGTGACCTCTGCTAATTATTCACTGTGGTCGCCGGAGCTAGTGACACCGAAAAACATTTTTATTATGACAAACCATCTAAGCAACGTGTGAAGATTACATTTTGACAAATATTGGACATTTATATTAGGTTTTACAGGCAATCTAGCAGGTAGATATGTGGTGATGTATATATAGGTATTTCCCTGTCACAATGGAGGACAAATGATCTCACTTATTCTCACCTTCTACCGACACCTAAACCTGACATACCTCAGAGTTGTAATTTCTTTACAACAAATCGAGACATGGTCATATACAATGGAGGACAAATGATTTCACCTGTTCTCACCTTCTACCGACACCTAAACATGGCAAAAATCACACATGTAATTTCTTTACAACAAATCGAGACATGATGTAAGTTTATCTGTTACGTTGCACTACTAAATCATATTCAGAACAATCTATTTCAAATAATTGTAATCGATAAGTTTATCAGCGTTCATTTTATTTTGAAGTCCTACTATGGTGTTGTGAATATTTTGGTTTCATATCAATAACATCCCATCAAAAGCGGACGTTATTTCTTCCTTTGTTGAAAATTGAATGAAGGTTTGAAACAATGAGTTATCCGAATATTACACCGCTGATCTGTTCAGGGACATACGACATAGATCATACTCCCTGGTCTGTTTAACATATATATGATAAATATTTTAAATTCAGTTACCACAGTAGACTGTGTTAACACAGTACGTTTTACTAGACTAGACTGTGTCAACACAGTATGTTTTATCAGACTAGATTGTGTTAGCACAGTATGTTTTATCAGACAAGACTGTGTTAACACAGTATGTTTTATCAGACAAGACTGTTAACACATTATGTTTTATCAGACTAGACTGTGTTAACACAGTATGTTTTATCAGACAAGACTGTGTTAACACAGTATGTTTTACCAGACTAGACTGTGTTACCACAGTATGTTTTATCAGACAAGACTGTGTTAACACAGTATGTTTTATCAGAGTAGACTGTGTTAACACAGTATGTTTTATCAGACAAGACTGTGTTAACACAGTATGTTTTATCAGACTAGACTGTGTTACCACAGTATGTTTTACCAGAATAGACTGTGTTAACACAGTATGTTTTATCAGACAAGACTGTGTTAACACAGTATGTTTTATCAGACTAGACTGTGTTAACACAGTATGTTTTACCAGACTAGACTGTGTTAACACAGTATGTTTTATCAGACTAGAATGTGTTAACACAATATGTTTTATCAGAATAGACTGTGTTAACACAGTATGTTTTATCAGACTAGACTGTGTTAACACAGTATGTTTTATCAGAATAGACTGTGTTAACACAGTATGTTTTATCAGAATAGACTGTGTTAACACAGTATGTTTTATCAGAGTAGACTGTGTTAACACAGTATGTTTTATCAGACTAGACTGTGTTAACACAGTATGTTTTATCAGACTAGACTGTGTTACCACAGTATGTTTTATCAGAATAGACTGTGTTAACACAGTATGTTTTATCTGACTAGACTGTGTTAACACAGTATGTTTTATCAGACTAGACTGTGTTAACACAGTATGTTTTACCAGACTAGAGTGTTAACACAGTATGTTATATCAGACTAGACTGTGTTAACACAGTATGTTTTACCAGACTAGACTGTGTTAACACAGTATGTTTTATCAGACTAGAATGTGTTAACACAGTATGTTTTATCAGACTAGACTGTGTTAACACAGTATGTTTTACCAGACTAGACTGTGTTAACACAATATGTTTTACCAGACTAGAATGTGTTAACACAGTTTGTTTTATCAGACTAGACTGTGTTAACACAATATTTTTTATCAGACTAGACCGTGTTAACACAGTATGTTTTATCAGACTAGACTGTGTTAACACAATATGTTTTATCAGACTAAACTGTTACCACAGTATGTTTTATCAGACTAGAATGTGCTAACACAGTATGTTTTACCAGACTAGACTGTGTTAACAGTTTGTTTTACCAGACTAGACTGTGTTAACACAGTATGTTTTATCAGACTAAACTGTTACCACAGTATGTTTTATCAGACTAGAATGTGCTAACACAGTATGTTTTACCAGACTAGACTGTGTTAACACAATATGTTTTATCAGACTAGACTGTGTTAACACAGTATGTTTTATCAGACTAGACTGTGTTAACACAGTATGTTTTACCAGACTAGACTGTGTTAACACAGTATGTTTTATCAGACTAGACTGTGTTAACACAGTATGTTTTATCAGACTAGACTGTGTTAACACAGTATGTTTTATCAGACTAGACTGTGTTAACACAGTATGTTTTACCGGACTAGACTGTGTTAACACAGTATGTTTTACCGGACTAGACTGTGTTAACACAGTATGTTTTACCAGACTAGACTGTGTTAACACAGTATGTTTTATCAGACTAGACTGTGTTAACACAGTATGTTTTATCAGACTAGACTGTGTTAACACAGTATGTTTTATCTGACTAGACTGTGTTAACACAGTATGTTTTATCAGACTAGACTGTGTTAACACAGTATGTTTTATCAGACTAGACTGTGTTAACACAGTATGTTTTATCAGACTAGACTGTGTTAACACAGTATGTTTTATCAGACTAGACTGTGTTAACACAGTATGTTTTATCAGACAAGACTGTGTTAACACAGTATGTTTATCAGACCGCACTAGACTGTGTTAACACAGTATGTTTTATCAGACTAGACTGTGTTAACACAGTATGTTTTATCAGACTAGACTGTGTTAACACAGTATGTTTTATCAGACTAGACTGTGTTAACACAGTATGTTTTATCAGACTAGACTGTGTTAACACAGTATGTTTTATCAGACTAGACTGTGTTAACACAGTATGTTTTATCAGACTAGACTGTGTTAACACAGTATGTTTTATCAGACTAGACTGTGTTAACACAATATGTTTTATCAGAATAGACTGTGTTAACACAGTATGTTTTATCAGACTAGACTGTGTTAACACATTATGTTTTATCAGACTAGACTGTGTTAACACAATATGTTTTATCAGAATAGACTGTGTTAACACAGTATGTTTTATCAGAATAGAGTTAACTAGACTGTGTTAACACAGTATGTTTTATCAGACTAGACTGTGTTAACACAGTATGTTTTATCAGACTAGACTGTGTTAACACAGTATGTTTTATCAGACTAGACTGTGTTAACACAGTATGTTTTATCAGACAAGACTGTGTTAACACAGTATGTTTTATCAGACTAGACTGTGTTAACACAGTATGTTTTATCAGACTAGACTGTGTTAACACAGTATGTTTTATCAGACTAGACTGTGTTAACACAGTATGTTTTATCAGACTAGAATGTGTTAACACAGTATGTTTTATCAGACTAGAACGTGTTAACACAGTATGTTTTACCGGACTAGACTGTGTTAACACAGTATGTTTTATCAGACTAGACTGTGTTAACACAGTATGTTTTATCAGACTAGAATGTGTTAACACAGTATGTTTTATCAGACTAGAACTGTGTTAACACAGTATGTTTTACCGGACTAGACTGTGTTAACACAGTATGTTTTATCAGACTAGACTGTGTTAACACAGTATGTTTTACCAGACTAGACTGTGTTAACACAGTATGTTTTATCAGACTAGACTGTGTTAACACAGTATGTTTTATCAGACTAGACTGTGTTAACACAGTATGTTTTATCAGACTAGACTGTGTTAACACAGTATGTTTTACCAGACTAGACTGTGTTAACACAGTATGTTTTATCAGACAAGACTGTGTTAACACAGTATGTTTTAACACAGTATGTTTTATCAGACAAGACTGTGTTACCACAGTATGTTTTATCAGAATAGACTGTGTTAACACAGTATGTTTTATCTGACTAGACTGTGTTAACACAGTATGTTTTATCAGACTAGAATGTGTTAACACAGTATGTTTTATCAGACTAGACCGTGTTAACACAATATGTTTTATCAGACTAGACTGTGTTAACACAGTATGTTTTATCAGAGTAGACTGTGTTAACACAGTATGTTTTATCAGACTAGACTGTGTTAACACGGTATGTTTTACCAGAATAGACTGTGTTAACACAGTATGTTATATCAGACTAGAATGTGCTAACACAGTATGTTTTACCGGACTAGACTGTGTTAACACAATATGTTTTATCAGACTAAACTGTTACCACAGTATGTTTTATCAGACTAGACTGTGTTAACACAGTATGTTTTATCAGACAAGACTGTGTTAACACAGTATGTTTTATCAGACAAGACTGTGTTAACACAGTATGTTTTATCAGACTAGACTGTGTTAACACAGTATGTTTTATCAGACAAGACTGTGTTAACACAGTATGTTTTATCAGAGTAGACTGTGTTAACACAGTATGTTATATCAGACTAGAATGTGTTAACACAGTATGTTTTACCACACTAGACTGTGTTAACACAATATGTTTTATCAGAGTAGACTGTGTTAACACAGTATGTTTTATCAGACTAGAATGTGTTAACACAGTATGTTTTATCAGACTAAACTGTTACCACAGTATGTTTTATCAGACAAGACTGTGTTAACACAGTATGTTTTATCAGTGTAGGCTGTGTTAACACATTAGTTTTTGTTACCACAGTAGAATTTGTTATCGCAGCAGACTTTGTTAGGAAAAAGTGTTCTGATGTTTATATATAAATAAAAGAACCAACACCGCTGATGTTCACCTGTTTCCAAAATAAGTAGTTATACTTAATAGTTCAATATGGAGTATTCTCGACGGTGGTCTAGAGGTATGACGTCTACAAAAACGAGGACACAAAGTTAAGTAATATAACAATTCATTTTAACATGAGAAAACAATCGATAAATTTGCATCAATTTTACATTGTCACTCTCCCCTCTAACACACCCGGAAACTGCAGTTTCACACATTACACAGACACTCTCCCCTCTAACACACCCGGACACTGCAGTTTCACACATTACATTGTCACTCTCCGCTCTAACAAACCCGGAAACTGCAGTTCCACACATTACACGGACACTCTCCCCTCTAACACACCCGGAAGCTGCAGTTTCACATTACATTGTCACTCTCCCCTCTAACACACCCGAAAACTGCAATTTCACACATTACACAGACACTCTCCCGTCTAACTCACCCGGAAACTGCAGTTTCACACATTACATTGTCATTCTCCTCTCTAACACACCCGGAAACTGCAATTTCACACATTACACAGACACTCTCCCCTCTAACACACCCGGAAACTGCAGTTTCACACATTACATTGTCACTCTCCGCTCTAACACACCCGGAAACTGCAGTTCCACACATTACATAGTCACTCTCCCCTCTAACACACCCGGAAACTGCAGTTTCACACATTACATTGTCACTCTCCCCTCTAACACACCCGGAAACTGCAGTTTCACACATTACACAGACACTCTCCCCTCTAACACACCCGGAAAATGCAGTTTCACACATTACATAGTCACTCTCCTCTCTAACACACCCGGAAGCTGCAGTTCCACAGATTACATAGTCACTCTCCTCTCTAACACACCCGGAAAATGCAGTTTCACATGACATTGTCACTCTCCCCTCTAACACACCCGGAAGCTGCAGTTTCACATTACATTGTCACTCTCCCCTCTAACACATCCGGAAGCTGCAGTTTCACACATTACATTGTCACTCTCCCCTCTAACACATCCGGAAGCTGCATTTTCACACATTACATAGTCACTCTCCTCTCTAACAGACATTTCAAATTTCACATTTACTCACTTCATTCGTTTTGTTAATGCTTTATACAATATACAATGAGTAATATAGATTACAGGGTCTTATGCGGTTTAACATTACACCGAAGAGAATTGTAATTTGATGTTCACAATTTCGCGGAAATGACACAGGCAAATGTTGACAATTGTGGCAGTTGTAAAACAACATTTCTATGTTGATATACGTATTGTAGTTTATCATTTTCGTAATTTAAAATGGTCTTTAGCGATTTCACATTTCAAAATTGACCTCCCCTTACCATTGTTGAGCATTCTGCCTAGGACGAAATTATTTTAGTCTTAACTTTTATACAGATAGCAGACAAAATGTAGATAAACTAGGAAAAAGAGGTAATATAGATGTCTGATTATTAAAGCGTTACTACTGTTAGAACTAGGAAAAGAGGTAATATATATATTTATAGAGAGAGAGAGAGAGAGAGAGAGAGAGAGAGAGAGAGAGAGAGAGAGAGAGAGAGAGAGAGAGAGAGAGAGAGAGAGAGAGAGAGAGAGAGAGAGAGAGAGAGAGAGAGAGTTGAAAATTTCACATAGAATGTGAAACAAAAAGCAATATATGTATTGTAAATCAGCCAATGAAAATCTATTTTCGTTTCTACAAACGCGTCTGTGTTATGCAGTATTTTTTAAAACCAGTGTTTATCTAACTATGCTGTCGCTTACTGATCAAATGGTCATGTTGGAATATTGCAATAGCGATATTAGCAGATTGGCAATACCATAGCTGTAATTATCTGTAGTAGGGAAGCTCGTGACATATTTTACTAAAAACATTGTCATAAGACCAAAACTGAAATTAGGTAGCTTACATTAGTGACATTCGGATCATAATCAGTGTTACATACATAAAATAACTATAGAAAATAAGTTTTAAACACTTCCAACAGTATCAGTCTCGATGAGTAGGGGAGGTAACTCGATTTGAATTTCACTTCTAATGACGTTTTATTTGAAATTGAATAATTAAGTGGTATACATATTGCTAGCACAGTTAAGTTTCCAGTGTTAGAATTATCCTAGTAAGAATATCCATTGGTGGTAAGGTATTCTAAATGAATGCCCAACGTTCTAGGTCTTTCAATTTGCTTCATCGAATAAAAAATTGCAACCAATAATAGTTCTTACACCCTTACGATGACTATACAATTCTGTCTTTGATGCACAAATTGAAATGAAACAATGGGTATTCAATAGGTATTCAATAGCTGATTCAAAGTCCTCATTTTTACAATCGATTGCTAGTAGTATTTATTTGTGTGCTAACTGATGGTATAAAGGGCTTGTCGCCTCCGAGACAGTCCCCTGACCCTCGATTCCCCCTCTGAACTGTCACCAGCGTCCGCTTGTTCCAACACTATACTTGGCATAGACTGTTGTTTGTATAAAAACGGTTTTGACTTCTTCGTCTTCCGGTGAAAGATATACATGTCTTCGAATATTTTAAAAACACTGTCCACCGATTCCCGCACAGATATCTCATAAAAAGCAGAGCAACCAAGTTCTATTGCACGTGATTTACCCTCTTCCTCCGTAACCATTCGGTCGTGTAGTCTGTCATTCTGGTTTCCAATCAGTACACATGGCGCCCCCTGTTGGCCATTTTCCATCGCCATGCTCATTTTCCTTACCCGTTTGCAGTATGAGTTAATCAGGAATTTGATTCTGCTGCACTCGTTGAAACTACAACTGTCTGTGACTGAGTACATTAACACGTACGCATCTGCCCACTTAATGTTCTCTTCCGTTTTATTTTTCTCACCCTAAAACACAAATATATTATCAGTTAGAATCGTTTACATACGCACTGAGCGACACAGCAGTCTCTGGAGATTTTCGAAAAAGTCTCCAGGTATGATACAAATATTATAAAACAACTGAAATATATATATTTTTTTATTTTAACTTTCACCTTCCTTCCTCGCCTGGTATTATATGAATTCAACAAATACATATAACATTTGTTAACTACACAAACATTTCACCAGTAGTATTTGAGAAGTTATTTTTTTAGTATATTTTGATGAATGTATTTATGGATGAATGAACTGCACATAAGTAGCAATATCCAGTGTTCAAAGCCCGTGTCATTGACTGTACACTACCCCGTGTCCTTAGTGCATGGGCTAGAACTACCTTCGTAAATTACTTCCCAGTGATCAAGGATTCGATAAAGACACTCAAGAAGAATATACATTAAAGTATTGCTTTGTGATGCTGTTTACTCCGAGACAAACATAAAAAATTATATGTCCAAATGTTCATTTATCATGATCCTATCAGAAAAGTGAAATCAAAATAAATATTTACATTAAGATAATATCTGGAATCCTGCGTGATTGAATTTTACGCAATATACAGTATGATATTACATCTGTTGTGGCTGGAACTTATTTATTGCACTTAAATGTTGCCGCTTGTTATCGCACATTATACGTAAGCATTCTAATGTAACAAGATCTAGGATGGTTGTGGATTACGGAGGTGACATATGACGTAAATTCAAAGCTGATCACATTCTATTTTATAGACAAAATTTGGATTGTCTTGTATATTAACGGGAAACAGAAAATCAGACCCCATATCCATTAATATAACTTTATTGCCGTGTCTAGGACCTCTTCGGTGACGTTGTCCCCTGACATGACTCACCTATATTGCCGTGTTTAGGACCTCTTTGATGACGTTGTCCCCTGACGTGACTCACCTGTATTGCCGTGTCTAGGACCTCTTTGGTGACGTTGTCCCCTGACGTGACTAACCTGTATTGCCGTGTCTAGGACCTCTTTGGTGACGTTGTGCCCTGACGTGACTCACCTGAATTGCCGTGTCTAGGACCTCTTTTGTGACATTGTCCCCTGACATGACTCACCTGTTTGCCGTGTCTAGGACCTTTTTGGTGACATTGTCCCCTGACGTGACTCACCTGTATTGCCGTGTCTAGGACCTCTTTGGTGACGTTGTCCCCTGACGTGACTAACCTGTATTGCCGTGTCTAGGACCTCTTTTGTGACATTGTCCCCTGACATGACTCACCTGTTTGCCGTGTCTAGGACCTTTTTGGTAACATTGTCCCCTGATGTGACTAACCTATATTGCCGTGTCTAGAACCTCTTTGGTGACGTTGTCCCCTGACGTGACTCACCTGTATTGCCGTGTCTAGGACCTCTATGATGACGTTGTCCCCTGACGTGACTCACCTGTATTGCCGTGTCTAGGACCTCTATGGTGACGTTGTCTCCGTCTATGCACTTGTTACAGCTATATGTCTTTTCTGTAATAGAAACGTTACCCTGGTAACAACAGTTCGCGTCTACTGTTACATTTTACATGTAGCCAAGCCGTATTTTCATTTTCATGACAACAATAAAAACGATCGAATTTTAAATCTACCTTTAATGGAACACGCACACCTGATGTTTATTTTCTTTGACACATTTATCTTTTTGTCTGAGAATTCTAGCATACTATAGTCAATGTATATCTTACTTTGGAATTAACATTTAATTGTTTAACTAGATAAGATATCTTCACTGAATTATTCATGAACTGAAATAGTCACTGGAAACATTTCAAAAGTTTAGAATTTATTGACCTGGGCACAATGTGCATTTGCACTTGTAAATATAACACTTGATCACAAGATCTCAATACCAGCGATCACGGTGTCCAATTTATCATAAAGCTGTCACATAGACAACCGTTTATTTAGGGAGGCAGGCAGTTCGTGATTTATTGATTGTTAGATAATTGTGTATGTACTGTATTATCTGCCAGAAAGTAAAAAGCTATTTGTAACTCGTTAGAACTAGGTCAAAATGACAGTCTGTTCCCTGTATTAGTTGTGTAACTACAGTTGGTGGCTTCAAGGGGTAACGTTATGCGCCGCTTAAGATTTGTAAGATAAACTGCAATTCTTTAATGAATGAAAGACTTTGTAACGAAGGGTGCATTTCATAGACAACGATGAAAAAACTCGATAACAACTTGTTTCAAGAAGATATTCAGGTCGATGCAACGATTTCCAAATGCTATTTTTGTGTAACACCAGGTACAAAGAAAGGAACCATGCTAGGTCAGAAGCTATTTTATAGCTCATTAACTGATTTTTTTTATGAAAGTTAAGAATAATCAGCGCGAATTACGTGTTTTTACTACGTGTTATATCGGGTTCTGTAAACACGATCGCATAGTCTCTCCCCATAACATCGCACCATCCCTTAGCTTTGATGCCGTTAAGATTGGCACTGGCGGGAATCAAAGATCGGCTGGTATGACCTGGGACAAAATCTGGAGTCTGCAGCTGGAACAGTGTTAGATACAGAGGCTGACAGGGTCATAGGGTGCCAGGTTGATGGGATGGTGATGGGATGGAATGTGTTACCTACCTAAGTTCGGATCGTATTCTCCTATGAATCTTCTCGTCAGGAATCGTACAGTGAGAGCTGAAAAACACAAAGGCCAATTCTCAGAAGGGCACCATTACACCACGCATGTATAACGTTATATCCTGCAATGTAAGTCTAGATATAAAGAAATGCGATCTCTAACATGAGATAATATGTTTGATAGACGGGGGGAAACACCGATTTGAAAATATCATAACATTTGTTTTCTATCCTGAAACTTAGAGACACTGCTTTTGACCCAGATAATGAAAATTTATAATTTTTTCTTTGTTTTTTCTCACTGTATCGTTAAAGGCTATTTAAGTGCCGTATTTACTTTCAAATAAATCTATTAATATGATGTAAAGATTCCACAATTCGGTGATAGCCGTTAGGGAGATATAATTTCTTTTGTATTTTGACGATATTAACGCATAACAATTTATCTCTTTGAAATATGTGGAACTTTCCTGACTTGGAGCATTGTCCATTTTCTAATTATCTATTTATCTTTCCTATGTTCGTATTCCATGTTCCTGCATAGGTTAAGAATAGAACTGCCATATAAAGGCCCTAAAATATATTCCTGTTTCTTATGTACGTTTATCATATTCCGAAATACGTTTATTGTCCATATTCTTTATTCCACAGCACGGAATACGCTTTATACATGCACGTAAAAATTTGTAGAAAGTTACTTTATCACAGTTTAGTACATAAAGGTAGGATAATGATAAACGAAATGATATGTTCTAACTCCTTGTTGATGGTATTAAACGCTTTATTGTTTATTTTTTTGTTTATTTACATCTGCACCATGACGCTAATGTGACGTCATGCATTGACGCTCCGTGTAGAGGACAGGATGACCCTAAACATGACGTGACTATGTTTACGTAGATTTACGTAGACTTGCTTTCACGCTAATGAGCTGTGACTTGATTCGAAAATCTGGTTTACAACACACGTGTTTCCTGTATTTATCACAAAAAACAAGACGAGTTCCAAGAATCGCAACGTAGCTGTATATAGGTCAAAGGTCAAATGTCACTGCAATATACTTCATAAGTTTTTAGACGTGTTTCAGGTTGGTGTCAGAGTCACTTTGCTTGAAACTGTTTTAAAGGAATTATTTTCGACTTATTGTTAACTAATTGTCTCTTTATCTATAAGGTTCTTTTTTACTTAGGCTTCTAAATTTCGTATGTTGTCAGACCTATTAGGCCCGTGAGGTCATACTTCCATGTCAACGGTACGAAAACGTCATTACATTGTCACGTGACTTCTGGCATTACCATGGTAACAACTCGAAACACATTACCAGGGTATCAAACAGTTTGTATACCATAGTAACTGATTTAATTTTGTCACTGGTTTTGCGATGTTCCTGTATACTATCAACATTCTACTTTTGATATGTGTGTTTGCTAGTAATTTCAATAACATTATTCTTTACAGCAAATATTGACCTCCGCATAAAAATGTCAAATGTCAGTAAACATTAATAAAATATGCGAACAATGATAAATATATGTAAGCTACTGACATCTATTTGACGATTAATAAATTCCAATTTAAACTCGTACAACGATTAAATTCGTCCTAGATAGTAGCAACGTCAAATAGCTCAGGAGAAGATGTCGACCCTCCGGTGACCGGTATGGCTGGAATTCCTGTCCAAAATGATACTATATATTGATGTATATTCCTGTGAATTACTTGTGACACTGACCTGGCTATTGGGGGAATGTCCTCTCCGATGAATGACAACTAATGACATTTCTATACTATACATCTACACTGTGTCGAGTGACCGGTCAATATTTGATAGGAAATCATATATGTACTAGGTATTGGGAGGAGATAGGGTTTGTAATTGATTCCACCGTGTTTACAAATAGCTTGAAGAAGAAATGTGATCACATTCCACACAGGAATTCCAGACAGGAATTTCAATATAATTGTAGCAAATGCCATCCTTTATTGATAGTTTCACGACAAGCCGTGCATGTCTGATGCAAAAAAAAACCCAGATGATATTAGTATTATTAATGAGTAAATAACGCACGTATCCCAATCTAGGATTATAATCAATGAAAAACATGTTAGAATGCAAGAAAAAAAAGACAGGTGTTAAAGAAAAGTTAACATCTGCAAACGATACTTGCGCGGTATGAGCGAGCACTGAAAAGTATGACGAGATAATTATACATAGAGAGAGAGAGAGAGAGAGAGAGAGAGAGAGAGAGAGAGAGAGAGAGAGAGAGAGAGAGAGAGAGAGAGAGAGAGAGAGAGAGAGAGAGAGAGAGAGAGAGAGAGAGAGAGAGAGAGAGAGAGAGAGAGAGAGAGAGAGAGAGAGAGAGAGAGAGAGAGAGAGAGAGAGAGAGAGAGAGAGAGAGAGAGAGAGGGGAGAGAGAGAGAGAGAGAGAAATGGGGGGGGGGGGGATCGTTTAGAACTTTATGGCTGTTTGTTGTTACCCTTATCAAATGTTCGCATTGATACATCGGTCGGTTGTGGTAGTTTTTATTTAGTGCAAGGATCATCTCGGTCGATTACAGGTTAATTGCCTGTAATGAATCACCCTCTCTATTTGGATCGTTATTGTCTGTGATTATAAGGAATCACCTCAGAGTGAACGAGTTCAAAAAGATAGTGATGTCACTTCCAGACATTGGGGTCATGTATCCCGACAGAGGGATAGTTTATAGATGCATCAGTACTGTTTCATCAAACAAAAATGTCCTTTCATATCGGGACATTGAAACACTTGCATGTATAAGCATACGTGCAGAAAGAGACTATTTCCCTCTTATGTAGCAAGGTAATGAAGACAGCTGATAGCCATGCCAAATTGTTAGAACTTATGGCCAATGGCCAGGACGAATAATGAAATATGTACCAGCATTAGTTATGAAGCAGATAGAAAAGTTGGTGTTAGGACTGCAATGTTGAGTGATGTATTCACCATAATTTCCAGAAAAATATTGTCTTTTGTTGACATACCGGACTGAAGACAAGTATGACATCGTCGCCATGCAAATGTTGGTTTCTTCACGTGCATAAACACGTAAACCAGTATAATATCAACAGAGATTCTCGTGACGTAACATTTGTTTCAAACATGTGTCATATCGGCATGTGGTTTGCGCGTCAATCACGTTAATGTTCATTCTGTGGAGATTAGACGGCACAAAAGAATTTTCTCAAACAGTACGTGCTACAACACGTATGTCAATTATGTTTAACCTTGAGTTGGTGTCAATACAGCGGTAGACAATGTTATGTAACATAACTGACTTCAAGTTTCCATGTTTACGTCATCACAATACATATTTACCGACACCTCTGTCAGGCTATGATCGGTGTACTCATTGTCTTCTCTAAGTTAACAATACACCGGTACAATGGCGAAGTAAATTCGGCGGAAATTTTCTTATGACTCTGCTTCTTTCTTAAATAACATTAAAATGATTATGTTATGTGAGTCAGAGAAAAGTATATTAGTTTTTGTTCTTTTCAATCTTCGGGAATTCGAAAAAAAAAAAAATCAAATTTGAAGTAAAATAACAGGAAAAGTAAATTCAGTTGAAGTTTTTGCATGTTTTTGTGTCTTTTTGTACTTCAGTTCAGTCTGTAATATCGTGAAAAATATGCGAGTTTTAGTTAGTTAGTTAATTGATTTGTTTGTTTATTTGCTTGCTTGTTTCTTTGTTTATTTGTTTGTTTGTTTGTTTGTTTTCGATCTTGGCAGATTCTAAATGATCATCAAAGTAGAAACAATTAACTCTCCTTGTTTACCGGAAATCTGTGTTAGTATGTAATGTCTGACCATAGCTTCACGTTATCGTCTGAGTGGTAACCTGATAGCCTCACGACAAAGTGACGTATATAGGTAATTAACACGTACTTTAGTGTTGCCAGGTAGGTAAAAAAACATGAAGTAGAAACCGTTAATCACAATTTAAATCGGAAAAAAATGGCCTGAATGTGAAGTTTTCCTGAACTTTGTGTTTACTCTACATCCGAAGGCCATGCCATACACAAATGGTGCGTGACGGGAGGAAATAGAACTCTCCGATCTTATCAGTGGGTTACACTGAGTGAATTCCTTAGTCGGAGAAACGTCCATAATCTGGTACATATTCAAATTAAGCTTCATTTAACGTAATAAATTAAATTTCATTACTAATAACGTTTGTTACGTATTTGATGTCATTACGAAACATGGAATCAAGATTATAACATATTTCTGGTTTGATAAAAAGTGTTTAAAGGTATATGTATTGTTACAAGTCGTTGTTCATGTTCTGACTGTATACAATATATTCCCCTGAGTGCTGTGTTTATAGAATCAAGTACCAGAGAAACACTGCATTATATTGTACATGGTTAAACACTTTCCCCAGAGACGTACGTGACGATGCACATCTCAAGCACCAATAGTATTGTATATCATAACAGGCCATATCCGGATGCATATTGGACAGTCGATGCCAATTAATAAAACCTGAAGAGACCCGAAAACAACTCTTGAAATTTGATCAATATATATTGAGTTTACAACAACTTCCTGTCTCAGAGTTTGTCTAATCATGTCATAAACATCATGATCATTTTAATATTGGTGTTGGCATAAAAGTTATTATCTATAACATAAGTATGTTTACTTAATTTCTTTGTTATGTAACGACTGGTATCGCTTCTTAATACACAACGGAATATGATCAAAATTCGAAACAACTTTACCATTTACTATTTGACAAAGTTCATTAGCCAAAATGTCCTTAATTTCATTATATCTGACATGAGTATAGCTTGGTCCTTAAACAAAGAAGAAATAATCATTAGATGATAAAAAGAAGAAAAATACGCAGAAAAAAGAAAATAGGTAAATAGCAGAAAAAGGAGACGACGTAATCCAGACGATACTTAAATCCCGATGATATTCCGAACAATGGTAAACGAAACGACCGAATGATGTACTAAATTTCCATCAATCAGGTCCCATTAGTTAAATAATTACTTACGTTTGTTACCCACTGAGGAGGGTAACATA